CAAAAAATCCCTCGTTACCCAGGATGTAACGAATCTGACCAGTCATAGTATCAGGCTGGAGCGGATCTCCAGAGATTGCTAAAACAAAATCCATTTCACTTGCAAGAAAAAAAAGGATGTTAACTCGAATAAATTACCTCTGGCCTGCAGTCGCGTTCTCACGAGAGCTAAAGGATAGCTAGCAAGCTGTCCACAAGTTGAGCTACAAGTTCCACACGCCAACAAAGCTAATACACCGGGTTCGGCACCACCGTTGTGACGCCGGACGTACAATTTTTTGAGCGTCTCATAAATGGCCAGATCGATACCCGCATATGGTATTATACCCAACAAATTAGGAACATATCCCTAAACTCAGAATGTGTTCTTCCTGCGCTGTGACAGGTGGCATAAGCAGCAAACTGCACCTTATAGAAACAAAGAGCTCCTTCCTTTTTGTACATTTTTTGAGCAAAGTGGAAAAGGCCGTTATCCAGTTGACCAGTTTTTCTTAATGCCAGCCGGGTCTTCAACACTTCCATGGGATATATGACAGTTTGTGATATAGCACCAGCTGCAAAAATATGGTGACTGACGTAATATATGAGGTACTGTATGTAGGTTACCAGAAGAGCCCGCGAGAAACCTCTCTATAATGCTCAATTCGTCATTCCCTTTGAACCTTTGAATCAATCTCTTGCACTGAAAAGCGAGTCATTCATCCACTTACAGTCATATAACCATACATGTACAACTTTACCTGATCATAAGCCATGAATTTGATTGCGGATTCCGGAGCAATCTTAATCACGTTTATACCATTCCCTCTCCAAAACGACTTCACGCCACCTTCAGCATGTAGTAACCGCAACGATGACATCACCCCTAACCGGTTTGTTCGCGTAGAATGAACCTAACAAAAAGGAAACTAGGCCAAATCGACTATCGCAACTAGTTATTGCACCTGCATGAACACTTTGAGCCTGTCTAGAGGAGCAGTACATGTTCTCGACATACATCCAGCAACACCTCCAGCTACCAAATGTCGCCACCAAACACCAGAGATCATTTCTTGGGGAGTAAAATCTTCTGGAACTTGACTGTCCTCTCCGATATCAATCACCTATGATCACCACGATAATCCGTGAAGTTTGGCAAATAATCAAGTGTCAGCTTACTAGATTATGGCGCCAGAAGTCCACCATGTCTTTAACATCGGAGCTCGGATAAAGCAGCATGAAGTTTTGAAAATCGGATAGATCTACAGATGAAGAGTCTGAGTCTGACAGTTCGGACATCCTAAACAATGAGATATCCGGCCCCAGCAGAACTGATCACTATACTGCCGCATGCGGAACAAGAAATGTTACAGAAATTCGACATGTAGGAAGCTTGACTTCTTTAATTCGCTTCCTACAAAAATTACAGAAGCTTCAAAAAAGAATAAACAAGCTATTAGTTACCCTCTCCGGGCAACAAATATGAACTCAAGCAAATAAAAAAAAATTAGAACAAGTAATTGCATCGGAGTGAAGGAATAAAATTACAAGAAAAAACTTACTTTTGTAAGATGCCTTGAGCTTTCCTATCGTCCAGCGGGATTCCAAGATCATTACAAAACGTTTTGATTTCTCGAGCATCAATGATACCTTGACATCAAAGTTAGACTTACGAAAACATACTGATATGTTAGCTTACCATCATTGTTTTTATCGAGATCCTGGAATATGACCTCCAACCTTTTCTCGTGTTCCACAACGTACTTGACAAAATCAGCGAAATTGATGTTACCGTCTTTTCCAGGGGAGATGCGTGCCAAGAGTTTCTTTCAAAAATAAATTAATCCTCTAGTAATCAAAAGAACCTGAGCAGTTGCAAGATGTATCTCTCACTAACTGGGGCCAATCGCGTCGGAATATGTGGCATTTCATGCTTCAGTGCTGCTGTTAAATCTCTTATATCAACTGTGCCATCATTATTGATATCCAGCCGTTCGTAAAGCTCCCTCAGTCTGCAATGACAGCATAGAAAATTTCGATATAGACAGAAATGACAGAATGAAACAACCATGCACTCCACCTTTTCTCTTTTTCGGGTGATAAGCCGGAAAGCGCAGCATGAGTGGCTATCGCAGTCTCTTTGGGAACTGTTCCCTAAACAAATACAATTTCAGTCGCACAGCCATAAATCATAACCTACACTTATTAACACGTCGACGACCGAGCCATTTTGAGCGAAACTCCCACTAACGACC